GGGGGGGGGGGGGGGGGGGGGGGGGGGGGGGGGGGGGGGGGGGGGGGGGGGGGGGGGGGGGGGGGGGGGGGGGGGGGGGGGGGGGGGGGGGGGGGGGGGGGGGGGGGGGGGGGGGGGGGGGGGGGGAGAGAGAGAGAGAGAGTAGGAGTAGTGTAGTATGGTAAAGAAAGGAAAGGAAAAAAGGAGGAGGGAGGAGTAATGATGGTAGTAAAGAACATATGATTTCCAAGATAAAGTAAGTAAATTAAAGGAGGGAGAGGGGAAAGAGGGAGTAAGGAGGGAAGGTGGAATTAAAGAAGATGGTTGGAAGCGTGAAAGGCAACTGTTATGCAGAATTGGCTTTATGTGCGAGATTTGAATAAAGAAAAGATGGATTGGGGCAAAGACCAGTGAACAAAGAAAAAAAGAAACAAAGAAAAAAATGAATAAAGAAATGAGGGATTCATGTAATTAATCCTGTTGCGTGTGGGTGTGAGTCGTGTCATTGGAAGTCTGGAAGGGGTCTGCGACCAAACGTTGACATGCACCTGCGACTCCCCTGCGACTCCCCTGCGAGCGACTCCCCTGCGACTCCCCTGCGAGCGACTCCCCTGCGACTCCCCTGCGACTCCCCTACTCCTCACTCCTTTTTTTGGGTTTGGGGTTCATATCTCTGGAACCAACATATATATTTGAATGGCCCCTTTCAGAAGATACACATATTTGCTTCCCCCTATCCACTCCCTCACTGTCTCCTCTCCTCCCTCCATGCATAACCTGCATTGAGTGGTCTATATTGCCACCCACCTCTTCCTTTTTGTTGCTGCCCCATTTATTTTCAGCATCTTTTTATTTGCCATCTTTCCTACCCTTTTCTTCTTTTAATAACCCCACCATAATTCAACTAGTCTAAGCTATTACAATGAACTTGTAAGATATTGTCTATATAGTCAAGTAATGTAAGATTAAAATTAACCCTACCATACTTTTTTTTTTTTTTTGTATTTAATAAAACATAATTAAAAGTAAGGTGAGATTGAATTTATTTTCCATACTTGTGTTCGTTTGTCCTATAAGCTAAGTAGGCTGTGTGATAAGACACTATTGCGTACTGATTGTCTACCCTAAATTAGTGCAGGAGGGATGACAAGACAATTGAATTTTCTTTATTAAAAAAAAAACTAGTCTTTTTTTGCTTATTATATCAATTTTATTTTTCACTTTCATTATGAAAATACAAATTTAGAGGAGTAACTGGTGATGAGCAAGAAAGCAACTCTCGTAATTTTAGTAACCACCCACTAACCATAATTATTTCAATTTCGAATTCAAATTCAAATTGGAAGTAACCGTTGGCCATCCATGAGGTCATTCTTCATGCGGTATGAACTTCAAATACTTTCAACCCTTCTCTCTTCGGTTTGACCATGGAATAATTGCACTACCAAAAATTAACCATTAAAGGTAATTTATCAAGAATATGAAAAACCAAAGAAAATGGCAACTTTTATTTAGAAATTTTCAATTTGTGATTGTATTGATCACTGATGAAATGCAATTAATTATTCAATTGAAACGATCCGGAAACGCACAATTAGCAAGGATTTGGAGTTACCCAAATCGGTGGAAGTAAACGGCGTCGGGAATGGGAGCCGCCGGAGTAATACGGCAGCTGCTCGAAGCTTCCGTCGCACAACCGGAAAATCCCCATATCCGGTTCTTCACCCTGTCCCTGGTAATCGTTGTCAGAGTAATCGTCCGTATAATATATACAATTCCCTGAGATTCCACCAAAATCAGATGCAGAGAAAGCCATAGAAGAGTTTCCCCCTACGAACAGTGCCATCTCATCCAAATTTTCGACCTTCTCCCATCGCGGCCCTTCCCATTCCATTCGGAATACCTCAAATCGTACCGTACGATAGATTACAGATATCAGCTCGTCAACCATGGCGTCGTTGATGATATCCAAATACCGACTCACCAGCAGCAGCTCGCGCCCTAATTTTACCAAATATTGTATATCACCGGCCGATTGGCTTCCTGTAGTAACCAGTGAAACTTCAGAGTGGGAACCGCGTAAATCCATCACTGAAATGACCCCGTGCTTATCCACCGCGTAGAACAGCCCGTCGGAGTATACAATATCTTCGCAATCGGACGGTGCATCATTGACGAACGTCCAGGATTCACCGCCACTCCGGCAAAATGCCAAATCGCCGCTATGATTCAGAATCGCAACGGCCGAGAAATCGTTCTGATTCGATGGACTTGAGGACAGAACGATTTTCTTGAGAAAAGAATCGCGCATCTGCCGCAGATTTCGGCTGTAGATGTGCCCAGTGGGTGTACGGATCAGGTATTCTCGACCAACTCTGGAGTAATCGAAAGAGACGACGTTGGGGAACGTGGAGAGCGGAGGCAGACGCAGCTTGGCCCTGGTTAAGGGGTTGAGGAGGAGGATTGTCGGATTTTCATCGACGATCGCAAGCCAGCCGTGGGAAGAACCGCACCGGCGCTTCCCGAGAGAAGCCTCCGGGAGGTGAAGGAAGTGGATTTTGTTGTCAGAAAAGTTGAATAAGCCGCAGCGGGAGTCGTGGTACAGAGGAATTATGAGCCAGGGGAGCTGTGGAGGAAGACGGCGAGGGATTTTGGGGACCGATGATCGCCAGCTCTGACAGACGACTCGAAATCGGAGATAGTCAGAGTAGACGGTGAGGTTATCGGCGATAACTTGCAGGAGATCGGGCGGGAGTTGGGTCCAGTCAGCCATTTTTCTAAGGCCTTGCGCTTCGTCCAGAAGATATTTGTCCTGAATGATGAGGAGCTCTTTTATTTTCTCCACGAATTTAAAGAGACATCATTATTGTCTCTTCTAAAATAAAAGGTCAACTAAATTATTATTTCGTTCAATTTTTTAAATTTTGTAATTTTCTTTTAAAGAATTTTTATTGAGGCTAACTAAACCTATGGCCAAATTTAAAAGCCCAAGGAAAAAGACCTACAAGCTAACTGATAGAGAAATCTTTTCCAAAAAAAAAAACAAAAAGAAAAAAAAAATCAACATGAACTAATGGATTAAATGGAAAACAAGCTGCTTACTCAAATACATACATGTTACTATTAACAAAATACACGCATTCATTAGAAATCTACAATGTTTATTGCCAAAACTACTAATTTCAAGAAATGCATACTAAATTTTGTCGAATGAGACATTCTTTTTTTTAAGTTTGAGCTCTAAATTGTTGCTGATCCTCTCTTTGGATCACAGTACTGATGAGTATACCAAGTATTTGACCTCTCCCCTTCAAGGTTTGCCACTTCTTGAGTTATTCGACAACCTAAAAATATAACAGTTATGAGCCTACATCCACTCTACATCGACGATCTTGAGAGCACGGGCCCAATTGAAAAGAAAATACAAGAACCGATCCTTTCTAACAGGTAGATCTAAGCTATTTTAGAGTTCCTACATCTAATAGTGTAAACGTTATAACTACTTCAGGTTCACCATATAAATTAAACAATTTTCGTGTACAAATAGTTCAAACCCTTGTAGGGGTATAGAAGAATAACATGACTCAAGATCATAATCAGAACGTAACATAATAAATGGATTTGCCTCACTTTCTTGAACAAAATTTATGCATGATCTGATTAGAGTTGAAGTTAAAGAAGCAGTAAATCATCAATCAAAACTAATATTTTTTGCTGAAAGTATCCAAATGGCAGGTAAAAGCAAAGGTGGAAGAAGACCTTCTAAGTCTCAGCCTGTGTGTCGATGCCAACACTTGTGTTCTTAGCATTATCATCTGCAGCCTCATCAGCAACGCGTAAATCAGGATAATTGCGATGGTTTAGAGAATGCAGCCATAAGGCAACGGCTCCCTCTTTGTGCTCTGTGGAACCAATGTGAGAATATATATGCTTCATTTTGAAATCTTCTGCTACCTCTTCGTATGCTTTCATAGATACCTCTTCATGACTGTCTTTCCACTTCTGATTATATGATGTGAATAGGCACTCGTCCAAGTACAGCCCAACCTCAGGTGCAGTGGGCACGTTGATATTTACATCCCTGTGTTTCAATTTTGATTACCAAAACTTGATGGAATCCAATTCTATTCTATTCTATTAACAAATGAAATGAAAATTGCAGTTGAAAATGGAAATTACTTACTGTTGCAGAGCCTTCTCAATCAATGATTCTGGAGCACAGTTCCTCATGATTGCCACAGCAAGACCCATCATCTTCCGGATCTGGTGAAGCATGAAACTCTGCCCCACAACTTCACATTTCACAAATTCAATGCCTTCAACGACAACCGTGGTCGCCGCATCAAATGAAATGATGAAGCGACGAGCAGCAGGGTCCTCTGCTTTTGTTCTGGTAGTAAAATTGTGGAAGTTATGAGTTCCTACATATTTCTTCAAAATCCTATTGAACCTAGCTTTCTCCTCCTCGCCATACTTGAAGCTCCCTGAGGATTTCTCATTCCTATTAACGCTTTCTTTGCTTGCAACATTCTCAGAATCGTTCCCTAATCCAGACATTTCACTGCCTTCAATTTTGGCAGTAGCTTCGCCTCCAACATTGAGTTCAGTACCACTGTTTTCAACTAAAACGCTAGTTTCTTTGATAGAATCGGAGGCCGTGGCATTGTCCTCCAATGCACCATTTGCCTGAACATCAGGAACTTCAATGGCGTTTCCAGAGTTGGGCGAAATGTCTGATTCAGATATCGCAGTTTTTACTTCGAAATTGCGCTTGCCCATCAAGCCTTCGACCTTGCGTCCTCGTTCAGAGCACTCTAAGCACTTCACAAGCTCGTTACCAGACCCTAAACTAGCCTTCACACTTTCTCTATCACGATGGCAATTAGGATCGAGAGCGAAGACAGGAATTAGGTAAACATACCTTCTCCGATCGCAGAACTTCTTCGCATTAAATGACGCTGTGACGCGCTTGTACCCGAAAATTCGAATCTGGGGCGAAAGATTCGAATTGAGACGATCAACAAAACCTGGCGGATCGATGTAGAAGCGACCGGAAACAACCTGACCCACGGCGCTCACGCCCTTATCAGTGCGAGCCGAGCGGGCCCAATCGTAGCGCTTCGAGAGCCCTCGGTCCTGCTCCGGGACTGCACCGGCGAGATATAGGGCTTCTTCAAGGTCGGCTTCAATGGTTTTAGCGCCTGGATTCTTCTGCATCCCTTGATAACCGACGCCACAGTAGGCAAAGAAAATAGCAATCTTGCGGCGCTTGTACCTTTGTTTCTTCGGTGCCGCAGAATTGGAATTGACATCTTCGTCATCGGAGGTGGTGGTTGTGGATGACATTTTAAGCTTCTTTGGTTCTGGTTCTTCGATCGACGGTTGTGGCGGCGACCTTCTGGTTTGCGTTGGCGGTTCTTCTTCCATTTTACTCAGGCAAGGGCATAGACTGAAGTCTCCATTAGGGTTTTAGAGTCCCAACAGATGCTAGAAGTTCCATGTCCAAAATAGATTCCTATTATTTTTTTAAATTTTAAATTTTCTTTAAATTCCATTTTTCTGTTGGTAATAGTGTTTTTTAGAGAAAAAATATTGGTTTTTATTTTTTATTTTTTTTATATATATATTTCATAAATTCGCCAATTTAATAAAAACAGTTTTTTTAAAAAAATCTCAAACTTGTTTTTAAACTTTAAAAAAAAAAAAAATCTAACTATTTCTCCTTTATTTAAAAAATATTTCTAAACTTTGAAAATAATTTCAATAGTTTCATTAATCTTCTTAAAAAAAATTTATTTAAAAAATACCTTTAAAATAAAAATAAAAAACTCTTATTATTAGCCACATAAATAATTAAAATAAGTGAGTGACAATAAATAGTGTCAAGTCTTTCTATATCATATTATTTACTTGTCTGCTTTTGTCTGCTTTTAAAATGTGAATATTATTTTTGCAATCTAACCAATATTATTTTTCTCCCCTGAATATATATTTTTTAAATATCTACATATTAATATTTTAGGGATATTTTTAATATAATGTGGACTTCCAAATTTCCGTTCACGTTGAAGGGGTATTTAATCACCTAAAATAAAACATTCCATCGGAAAAAAAGAAAAAAAAAACTAATAAATAAATAAATAATACAACAAATTAATAGTTGAAAATAGCCCAACCCGCCAAATTGAATTTAGTTTAACCCGAGGAGGTTCAGAGGTAGCAATTATTAGCATACGTTCAAGCGGACGTCCCACGAAACCGTCAATTTCTTTGCTCTTATGCCATTGTGAAATGGTGGTCCAGATCCCACTCTCCTTCGATTGGTTTTAGCGAAGAATCTCGAGACCACGCGTCTGCAGATCAAATGGCCTTCAAACTTCTGAGACCGATCCTTCGATTGCAAATGGTGGATGTCTTCGCGCCAATCTCTTTCTTTAATTTATCACCGGTAAATGTCTTTGCGCCAATCTGAGATTTCTACTTTTCAGATGATTATTCGTATTATTAAGGTTGATCGCATCTTCTGCTTTTTAGTTTAAACACATTAAGAAGTTGATGTTTTATCCAGTTTGAATTGAGGAATAGATTCTCAAAATGAAGCAGGTTGTACTCTGTCGCTTACGGAATTAAGCTAGAGCCATGAATTGTCTCCATCTCGCCGCTAAGTACCCTGTTATGATTCTAGCTCGTTACCTTCCTTTCCTTTTCCTTGTTCGTGGGGGCATTCGGATAGCGAGGTTAAGATCGCACAATACGAATGAGGTTATATTTTATGGAGTGTCATGCTGTTTTCGTCTTTGGTTGTGGTTGCAGGACAGCCCTATTTTCTTCAACTAAGACCTCAAGGTTTTCATCCCAAGTATTATGCATGCTTATTATTTGATCCATGTTTTCCATGGGATTTTTGACGGATTATGTATGCCCGTGGACTAACAAAAGTTTGATTAACATGGAAATCTTTTAATCGATGAAATTTCTGCCTCAATGTGATATGCTTTTAGTCACAAATTTGTTAGAACATACATTATAATATACAAATTACTTGCTCGAGTTGGAATTCATGGTTTTTCTGGTTCATGAAAGAATATATTGAAGCAGCGAAGTCCGTGTTTTCTATTGGAGAGTATTGGGATTCTTGTAATTATAATGGCCATGACTTGGACTACGATCAAGGTACGATGACGAATCTTTGTTCTTCGTATGTACTGTGTTGATAAATTGGAATCACGTTTTAAGCAATATCCCCTAACAGTTTCTTGGAATTTTCTAGTTTTTTAGTTTACTTGAATGGTTGGTGTTTGTGGATAATATCCTCTGTTGTTTTTCTCAATTCATATATTCCATAGTGATGATCACAACTCTAAATGCAGATAGACATAGAATGGATAATAGATTGGATTGACAACACCGGATAACTTTCATCTGCTTTTGATTTTACAACCAAGGGAGTTCTTCAGGTCTCCCTGTATGTGAGGCCATTGCAAACCCCCGCCCCCCCCAAAGTGTAATACTATGAACATCAAATCTTAATTATTTGAAATAGAAAGGATCGGGCGACAGTAATATCATGGATTTTCTATTCCCCTGACCTCAGAATGCTTCTTGCAGGTCCATTGGCCCCTTCCTGCCAGCCATATCATGGAGGCATCCAAACTGTATCAGCTTGGAATAGAGTGTTATCTTGTTTGCAGTCTAATTCTCGCTCACTCCGCTGTGGCTTTCTTTCAGCTATGCTTCGTTTTATAGTAAGTCTAAATATCTAATCACTTGTTCATCATAATTTGTTGTGGTTTTTGGATTGTTTGATCCAACAAAGCTTTTGTACGATTCGAGCCCCATCTTCCTATATTGGATGTTTTTAAGCAAGTTATTCTCTGAGATTTTACTACATAATAGGTTAGTTCCCAAAATTTAGCTGCAAATCTTAAGAGTAGAACTGTTTCGCAGGCTGAGTGATCAATCTTCGATGTTTCTAAACCATGGTAGAGGAGTACTTGTTGTCTTTTAATTGTTGCCTCAAAACCAGTTTTTACACCCCACCTGTTCCTTATCAGGTTGCAACTCCTATCATGGGTAGGACCTTCCCTTCAGTACGTATGAATTCTGATTTTTCACAAATTTTATGTTGTTTTCAAGATTATACTCCATAGACATGGATGTCTGTCTTTACATCTGGAGGTGTAATTAGTGAGCAATCATCGATTCTTAGGATGAATGTTTGGGCGTGGAGGAAGACTGAAGTCAATCTGAGTGTGTGAACCTCTGTGGATATTGCAAAGGGGTCTAGTGTATTAGAACTCTAAATTAAATTTGGTAAGATGTATATTGATTGGATGACTTCAGTTAAGGGATGAGATTTGAACATCCATTATGAAGTGCAGAACATAAGAGAAAGTAGGGAGAGAGTTTAGGCGTGCAAGCTGAAATATCAACCATGGACATGGTTTGATCGGTAGTTGATCGATTCAATTCATTTTGGATCAGTTTGATAGTTTGTTTAGGCATATATGATATTTCAAAAACGTTAGTTTCGGTATAATTTTGGCCATAAGTTGTGTCGAACGGACCTTATAGTGAGTGCCACATGGCCGAAGAGCAGGGAAGTGACTACCAAGCATCACCATCACAATACCATGGTCAATGGCTCTTATCATTTTTTGCTTTGAAACTCCAAAAGATATACAGACCAACGCCACCCTTCCACGGCTTCCCTTGCCCCAACCTTCATCGTGTATATGTTGTATTAGTTGGATCATTGCATTGTTCATCAACAGTGAACCTCTGTAGGTCTTATATTTTCTTTTTCTGAATTCCAGGAATAATCTAACCGTCCTGTGTGCACACTACTACCTTGTCCCAGTCATCAAACTTGGGCAACTTGGTTTTACCTGCCACTTGATTAATGGATAGACCGATTAATTTATTCTCGAGAGGTACTAATTAATCACAGTTAGCTAGTTTGCTTTTATAGATTTGACAAGTATATATATTAATGATTTATTAACTAGCACCACCACTAGCACATTCTATATGCCTGTTGGAAATTATGATTTTTTATTCCGGAAGACATTCAAACTGCTGTCCGAAGCCGCAGTCAGCAAAAAAAAGGGAAAAAAGGGAAAAAAGAAAAAAAAAGAAAAAAAAGAAGGGGTAGTTTGCCATTCATGTGACTGAATATTAGCTACCGGCGACAGTGCTGATTGCAGCAAATTGGTCTTCTTTTTTTTATATATATACCAAGCACTCATCTTTTTGTTCTCTAACTGCCTTTTCAGATTCTCTACATGCAGGATTGTAAAGTAGATTTGCTGAGGACTCCAAGTGCAGCAGCGATGAACACCTCTCTCTGACGTCCACCGCCGAACCATAATTGGCTTCTCAGGTACAGTTAAAAAACTGTTGATTTTTATTGACTTTGAGACATTTTCATTACGGCAGATATCCACTTTTTAACCACAACGGCTCGCATTCATTGGAAACAGTGTGGGAATCCCATCCAGCTGTGCGGTAAGCAAAAGTGTAAGGCCCACTTGAACAATAACAAAGTGTTGTTGGTTTTGCTGCTTGCTTGCTGCCTGTTTCTTTGAATGAAATTCTACTTGTTTTGGTCAACCATTCTGAATTTTAGTTAAGAATGAGTAAGAAATTGGCTGCTTATAAGCATGCGTAAGTGAATTTTTCTAGTGGTCGTCCCTACAATGGTATACACGTTCCCCAATGAAAATGGAAGTTGTTGGAGTTGCACCATGGCCAAGGAAAGAACCATATGAAAGTCCTTTCCAATATATAAGACCAAATGAACATTAGACTAAATGAAGGGTAGTGGGGTCATTTTGGGATGTTTGACTCATGTGGGTGTTTAGAGCCTGAGATTAACATTTTGTTGAAAATTGTTGGGAGAGGAGTTCCATATTGGCTAATTAAAAGGGAAGATCAAAAGTTTATAAGAAAGACTATCTCAATTGGAATGATGTATTTTGAGAAAATCAAAAGCAAAGTCATCATAATTTATGTTAAAAGTGGACAATATTATATCATTGTAGAGGTCTGTAGTTTCTAACAATGTATCAGAGACATACCCTTAACTTAGCTATGTTAATAAAATCTTCAAGTGTTGAACAAAGAAGTTGTAAGCCTCGAAGGTATAGTCAAAAGTGACTCAAGCGTCAAACAAAAGGTGTACTTTGTTCGAGAATTTCAGGGAAGAAGTCGAGTCTCGATTAAGGAGAGACTGTTTGAGGTCTCCATAGGCCTCAAGGGAGGCTGTATAGTGTATTTTGTTCGAGGGGAAGATTGTTAGGAGAGGAATCTCACATTGGCTAATTAAGCAAAAGATCATGAGTTTACAATAAAAAAAAAAAAAAAACTATCTCTATTGATACGAGATCTTTTGAAAAAAGTAGAAGTAAAATCATGAAAGCTTATATTCAAAGTGTGATTGGATAATCACAAGTCCACAGTTTCTGACACATTTTAGACTAGTAAATGTTTAAGTGAAGGGTTTAGGAAGGAGTGAATTATAGAATACAACTCATTAGCATGTCCATCAAACCCTATACTTAGACAAATCCTAGAGCAAACATGAATTTGATATATTAACCCAAATCTGCTTAAACTTAAACCTATACCCAAAACTATCAATACAAACACTCAAATGGCGTCTCCCATGATTTGGAGTTTAGAAGCTTCAAATTAAGCTACGTAAGGAAATACTTTGTAAAAAATTGAGTTCAAATACTGTTTTTAGGATTAATAAATTCATAAAATAGAATAAAACAAAATCACAAAGACTTTCTGTTGGGAGTAGTTTTTCGATGGTCAAGAACATTTTTTTATGTTAGGAATTTACATTTAAAATTAATATTAGTCTATCAAATTAGTCTTGAATCTAGACCAAATTTGATTACTATTTAGTAGTTAATTTAATTATATTTGTTTATCATAATTTATTAACCATGGTTTGTATTTTTCTTAAAAAATCATTTGAATTGTTAGTCAAATTAAAAAACAAAAGCAATTTAAAAAAAAAATAGTTTTTCAGATATTTTTTTTTGTTAACCATTTTGATTTTAGTTTTATATTTTTTGAAATTGATGCCCGTTGCTTCTCATCTTCTCTATTATGATTTTCACCTATCTTAAAAAAATACTTCAATTTCTAGTTAAATTTTTAAAATAAAAGTAAAAACAAGATTTGAGTTTTTTTTCCTTCAAAATTTGGCATGATTTTTGAAAATATGAGTGGAAAGTAGAAACCAAGACATATAAACTTATGGAGACCTAAATTTGTAATATTAGTGGTTATAGCCTTAGACCCAAAAACCAAAAACAATAATTATGGAGACCCAAATTACTTTAATTAAAAGTAGTTTTTGCTGTTCCATGTGTTTCTTCTACAAATATTGCGACTTTGCTTCAAGTGTTCAAAGTCTAGCAATGATTTGGTCTACCAAAAGAAGATAATGCTTGCATGTCTTACAATGATGTTCAACAAATTTCTAGCAAGAGTCGACGAATAGGTAAATTCCACCATCTAGCATGGAAAAAACGTTTTTTTTAATACTAAAAAAATTACAAATAAATAATAATTTGTGGAATATTATTACTTTAATCAGCCACCAACACCAAGCGACCTAGAAAAAACACATGGAGCTTTATTATAAGGTGAATTTATTCGTGTTTATAACAAAATGCTTTAGCCTGAGTACTAAAGTGAAAAAGGAATGCATATTAACACATTACTCCGTTGGTTGATTCTAATTTCTAGATTCAAATATATAGGATAAAGTGGAGGAGGAGGAGGAGGAGGAGGGAATAAAATCGGGGAGGTGATGATAAGATCTTGGCAGCAATCTTGAGACAAGATGGGGGGATGATGATAGGGCAGTGTCCTCGACGGTGGGAAGGGCAAAGGATAATAAGGGTATGAGGCAATGGAATCTCAGTATTTGTATTCGTATTCGTATTTGCATCTGTTGTATTGAAAAGCTTCATCTGGGGAGGGGGGGAGGGGGGAGGCATCCTTATTCCTTTCCTCCCTCATCCCCGTGATTCAATCATGGCCTCTGTCAGTGACTACAGCACACACCACACACCACATCCCTCCTACCCTCTTCTCTGGCAGTAGCTCTGCGCTGTGTGCATCAGACAAAACCGAACCGAATTCCAAAGACAAGAGTCTAAAAAGAAAATAAAAACCCATTCCATGATTTTGAAACTGGTGAATTCAATGCGAGTCGTTGGGGGTAGATTTCAAGCCATTAAAATTCTCTGAGAGAGAGAGAGACAGACAGAGACAGAGAAAAGATGAGGGATATGGGGATGTTGGTTGCTTTCATAAATGCAGGCGTACAGACACACACTTGTACATATTGCTGGGAGTTTTGTTCTTTTTCCCCCTCAAAATTTCCTTCCCCCCTCCTTTTCTAGGGTATAACTGTTAAGGTTTTTCATTAAACTATTTGCTTCCTCATGACTGCGACCTTTCACTCGACAAAATGGACCATTTTCCTCCTCCCTTATCTTTCTCTCTCCTCTCTTTAACCAACCAACCAACCAACCATCCATCCCACTGTAAGTTTGTATTCTTGACCTTGCAATTCCATGGACTGGCGGAAAGAGACAGCCTCACCCCTCTTTCCACTTTTTTTACCCTTTGACTCCAAGGCTTTCCTTTTCCTTTTTTTTTTTTTGTTTTACTGATGTCAATTTGATCCCCTTCAAAGCCCTCAGTATGTGTGTGTGTCTTTACTTTCAGTAGTGGGTAGCTTTGAATTTCATTTTCCTTATTTGTATTGTGATAATAGTTCTTTGAAAATCACGTTTTAATTAGCAGCTAGCTTAGTAAAGGTGATAGCTGAAATGGAATCAGCTATCACCCAAGTGAAGTGGATACAGAAAAATTCACACACTGACTCACTTTCCATATTCCCCCTTTTGTTGTATGTGAAATGAAAACACAAGAAGTCAGAAGGGGGAATTGCAGTTTTGGTTTTGAAAAATGGTTTGTGAAAGTGAAACGGACCTAAGATGCCACGCAGATCATGGCTACAAGTGGGACCCCCTGGTTGCGTCAGCGTCTTGGCTTCCTTATTCCCATTTCCCATTTCATCGTCCACACATATTTCCCACTTTTCCTTGCCTTTCACTCTCCTCCTTTTGCTTAATCCATTTAACAATCATTTTCTCATTGACAAAGTCCTAATTCCTCATCAACAAATATTATATATTGAGATTTTGAAATTTTTGTGTTCATATGAACGTTTTATTTTTCATTAAATATTTTGGCACATTTTAGACATAGGAAGCCCTTCTAGATTTTGACTGAGGATGTTGATTCAATGCATATCATCATTAGTTTTTAGTAAGTTGCTGACCCAATTTGAATGGAATATTGGGTTGGAAGCATTGCCAATAAAGCAATGCGTCCTTTGGCACGCTGGTTCTTTCCAATAGTCAAGAGACTTGTGCAACTTATGTTGACGTGTATTAGATGGCCTCTTTGAAAAGTATCTTAATAATCTTCTTTTGTCAATCCTCTTGAAACCGTGATTCACTAGATTTAAGTTAAGTCTGTAACTCGTTAGTTAAGTCTATAATCCGATAATGTGATAAGAAGCGAGAATTGTTGATTAAGAGAAAAGGTTTTACATTGACTAATTAAGAGGAATATCATGCGTTAAGGAATACTATTTTGTCTTTTGAGAAAATCCATAATGAAGCCTTTATAGTTTATTCTCAAATAGAACGATATCATATTATTATAAGAGGGTCTGGATTACTGACAAGAATTTGATTATGATTAGTTATCTTTTTTATTAATTTGGGTATAAAATTGGAGTAAAACTCATGAAATGTAGTCCTAAAAGGGCTTAAAAAAAAAAAAAAGAAAGAGAAAGGAAAACTGAAAGGATGGGGTTCTAAAAGTAGTATGTATTTGTTTTATTATTGAAATAAATAATGTCAACCACCGATATGAAAAAGGTTCCAATAGCCCCCAATGAAAACCTGATTCCATAAATAAGTAAATAAATAAATAACCTTATAGTGATACGGCATTGAGTTTGGTGTGAACTTAATAATTTGTCCTTTGACACATTGGTTTGAAAACCATTCATCAGGCGCCGAGTGATATGACCTACAAACATGCCATCCCCATCATTTCTCTTTCTTTTCCCTCTCCACTCTACCACAAAACTAAGATACATGAAATAGATGGAGGTTGATCTTTGTAATAAACCCAACTCATGGGTTCAAATTTTTATGATCTCAAACTACAGGAATCTTAACTTGAAGGCAACAATAATAAAACTGAATTACATTTTTAGGGTTTTGTGGTACACATTATTATATTAAACGGAACTAGTTGCTACTCTAGTTTGAGGTGGGCAATGGGCTTAATACTTTTAGTTGATCAATTGACACAGAGAGAGATCTGAGAAAAATGGAGAAAGAAAAGACAGATTGATGGGAGGAGGAGGAGGAGGAGAAGGGATTGGCAGAAAGTGACCAAAACAAAACCCTCATCATTATTTATTTGATCTTTCTGTATTTGCAATTTGCACCCCAAACCCACCAATCAATCCCTCTCTCTCTCTCATCCCTCATGCATCTCTGTCATATTAATTAATAACTCTTCTCTCTCTCTCTCTCTCTTTGATTACTTACTGTGTATTCACTTCTTTTCCATCTTAAATAGAACCCCATCTGCTGCCTCTGCCCTATAAACTTTCATATCCATTTTCTCTCATCCATTTGTGCTCTCTTTTGGGTGGTTCATGGGGTTTCCTTGGTTGGTTTCCCAGATCACTTAAATGTTGGATTCATATTCCAATCTTCAAGCGTGGAAGGCGAAATCTAGACGTGTTTTCATGTGGGTTTGTTGTTTTAGCAAAGGATTTCCCAACAGAGTTTATTGGCATTCTGTCCACCTCCCCGGTTTCAGTGTTTGATTCAATACTTCTGGTTCTGTTCTTTGTTTCCTTTGTAATATGGGGAGGTGGGCATACTGCCAACTGAGCTCTGTTGGATTCTCTTTGTAAAAGCCCTCATGATGCCTTTCTCTCTTTTCATCCTCTTCATTTTACTTTCTCTTTTCTTGTTTTGCAGAAATCTTTCTTCAAAGGTAGTAGTAACCCCATCATAGTTATTCGTTTATTATTCTCTTTTGCTCTCTGAAGGTCTCTCATCATTCTGTTTTTCCACAGCCCACTACCATCATGAAGGTTTCTTTCTCAGGTTTGATTTGATCGCTGTTTCCCCCTCCCCCCTCTATCTTCTTGTTATAAATCTGAATGACAGAGATGGGAATAGCGATTTAGGGTTTTTCTTTTCTGGATGGGAATGAAGAACCCTAATAAGTTTGGATCGATGCTTTACTAGGTTTGGAGAAACATTGGGTCGAATCCCAAATCTTAAAACTCTAGATTTCTGTCATGATTGAGTGGAAAAGTAGTGAAGAAAATGATATGATTGTTTCTTTTCAGCTCTCGTTTGCAGCTAATGGGGCCGAAATGGCGAAGGTATTTGAGTTATGAGATGAAAATCGATAAAGGAATATGTATTTGATTGATTTAAGTATGAACAACAGTAAATTAGTGAAGATTTTTTCAGATTATGTTCATGGCCTTCATGCATGCTTTGTCTGTCCCCCATTTTTGAATTCACTCTCAATGTAGCTTTAATTATTATGATCATTATGTTTGGTTATAATCGCTTGGCCCTTTTTCCCCCTAAAAAATCATCTTGATTTTACCCAATTTCCCAAGCCTTGAAAACTACGACGCACCCCTCATCATTGTCCACTGACAAAAGAGTTTAAGCTTTTTCTATGCCAGCCGAAGATGCTTCCATTATTACCTTCTCCTGAGGCGGCGCGTGCGTTTCTCGGTCGGCCATTCACGGCGGCGCTTTCAGGCTACGTGCTTGTTTCGTCCCCCGCCGTCGGCTGCCAGCAGGAAATGGTTTCGCAGATGGTGTTTATTTTAGGTCTGTTTGGTATTGGAATTAGAGCCTATGAAGATCTGATACGATCTTCTTCAAGCTTTGGAGCGAGCTAGCTAGGGTTTCGCCTTATAATTTTCTGCAGACGGACAGTCGTAGGGAATAATTCTCTCTCCAATTTATTAAAAATCATTCTGTTAATATTTTATTTGTGAAAAAATAATTTATTCGTTATAATACTTTTTTATAATCTTTATTTTAAGAATCAAAAAGGATTTCCAAATATATGATTTAATCTAAATACTTCATTATTCATAAAGTAAATGAAATTTAATTTTTTAAAATAAAAAATGGTATTGAGTGGGCCTTTTGACTTGAATTTGAAGTTAGTAGTGATTAAAAAAGCAAAAACTTTTTAGTGGTTTGTTAACCCATTATAAACTTAATTAAAAAGGGACTTCTAACTTTGTTAATTAGCTTAATCAATTACTTTAGCAGCTACGATGGTAGTTCTCTTACGAACCTATGGGTTGTTATTTTAAAAAATTAAAATAACAAATTTAAGTGAAAATAAAATTAACCGAGAAATGGCTGGACCCCAAGGCTAAACATAACTCAGCCATACCCCAAGGCGGTTCCATTTACTTCATTTAGAACTCATTCAATCTCACATCTCTTAGGGGTCGTTTTTCACAGGTGATAGGTGTAATGAATCATTCACCTAGTGTTCTAGAATAAATTTTCAAATTTTACAATGAAATAGGTGTAATGAATCATTCCCCTAGTGTTCTAGAATAAATTTTCAAATTTTACAATGAAAATAACATCTAAATACTTCAAGGACTTTTTTTTGTGGGGTTTGGTACCTAACAATAACATATGCTACATTTATTTATTTCCTTGAAAGAAGAAAGTTGTAAGAAATGAGGATACACTTCAAAAGTGAGGATTTGTATGTAATGGCCGAAAAGGACGTGGGAGGCGAGAAGGGGAAACTCCAATTTTGTTATGAGTGAAGTAAATGAGAGCGCTTCGACATAAATATGTCCCGCTATCCTTCTCCCCTCTCTTCGCGCCTCGCCTCCAATTTCTTCTCTCTGCCATTTCCTTTTCTCTCGCTCTCTGCGTCCATTCTTTTCAATTCAACCTTCTTCCTCCTTCTTCAACCCCTCTCGCCGTAGGATGGTCGGTCCATTGCTCTACCCTACCGCTCGCAGAGATGACTCTGTTGTGGAGGATTATCACGGCCTCCAGATCGCCGACCCTTACCGATGGTAACCGCTCTCCAATTTCCGCTTCATTTTCAATAGTTGATTTGTTCTGAATGTTTCTACTCTGGTCTTGTGTGGAGTCTTCGCTGTTTTGCCGCTGTTCTTTGAACGACGGATCTTATCAATTTCTCGATCTGTTTTTCTGCCTTTGAACATGCTCCTCGGTTTTTTGAGAAGTCTAATTGCATTGAGGCTTGTTCCCAGGCTTGAAGATCCTGACGCTGAGGAAGTGAAGGAGTTCGTACAGGAACAGGTGAAATTGACGGAATCGGTGCTTCTGAAGTGTGATACTAGAGAAAAGCTCCGCGCGAAGATCACTGAACTCTTTGATCATCCGCGATATGAACCGCCGTTTAAGCGAGGGAATAAGTACTTCTACAATCACAATACTGGCCTTCAGGCGCAGAGTGTTCTTTATGTTCAGGTTTGTGGACGTCGCATTCAGTTTCGTCTTTTTGCTGTCCGCTCTTTAGCTGACTTGTGAATGTTTGATTAATCCACCACACCTCAATGGGGGTGAGAGTTCTCTTATTTATAATTATTTTCAGAATACAGAAATATGGTAAATTACAAATATTATGGAAATAGTAATAAAAGGAAAGAATAATAAATGAATGCAATATATTTGCCTTTAATAAGAGGGCAAATATGGTAACCCGTAATGTAAGGCAAATATCTAGATATTTGCCTTATAGTGACGGTCAACTATCCTTAACACCCCCCCGCAAGCTGAGCGTCGGATTTGAACGAACGTAAAGCTTGGATCTGAAAAATTCAAAGAGAGGTCGAGAAATACTCTTTGTGAAGATGTCAGCAACTTGGAGATGAGAGGGTACATATTGTGTGCGAAGTTTGCCAGCGATAACAAGTTCTCGAAGGAAATGATAATCTAGTTCAACATGTTTGGCCCGCTTGTGAGAAACGGGATTAGAGCTCAAAAAAATAGCACTTTTGTTGTCACATAAGAGTAAGGGCTGCTTTGAAATAGGGACCTTGAGGTCATGCAAAAGATGCGTAACCCAAAGAAGTTCAGCAGCGGTTGTGGCAAGAGCACGATACTCAGATTCACAGCTGGAGCGTGAGACAGTAGGTTGCTTTTTGGCACTCCAAGAAACCAGATTGTTACCAAGATAAATAGAATAGCCGGATGTAGAACGACGAGTATCGGGACAACCAGCCCAGTCAGCATCCGAATAAGCGACTAGCGTACTAGGAACATTGGATGGACGAAAGGTAAGACCAAAGTGGAGTGTTCCTTTGACATAGCGAAGAATACGTTTGACAGCAAGAAAGTGATCTGCAGTAGGGGCATGCAAGAATTGACTGACAGAATTGACAGCATAGGCAATATCTGGACGCGTAATAGTCAAGTACTGAAGGGCGCCAACAAGAGATCTGTAGAGAGTAGGATCAGAGAAAGGAGAACCATCAGCAGTCAAGTGTTGAGAAACAACCATGGGAGTGTGAACTGGTTTGCTATCGAGCAACTGAGCACGAGTAAGAATATCTCGAGCATATTTTAACTGACTAATAAAGAGACCATCAGGAGTGGGTGAAGCTTCAAGACCAAGAAAGTAACTGAGAGAACCCAAATCTTTGGTAGCAAACTCAGAATGAAGCTTGCGAGTAAAGCTGTCAATAAGAGATGAGTTGTTGCCGGTAACAATAATGTCATCAACATAAAGAAGCAAATAGATAATGTTAGATTGATGATGAAAGACAAAAAGGGACGTGTCAGCGCGACTGCAAGAAAACCCAAGTGTGAGAAGAAATGAGCTAAAACGCTGAAACCAAGCACGAGGAGCTTGCTTTAAACCATAGAGGGCTTTCTTTAATAGACAAACATGAGTGGGAAATCGAGGATCAATATACCCAGGAGGTTGTTCCATATGAACACGTTCAATAAGAGTTCCATTGAGAAAAGCATTCTTGACATCAAGTTGTCGAAGAGGCCATTTATTTGTGACTGCAATAGAAAGCACAACACGGACAGTGGTAGCTTTGACAACCGGACTGAAAGTGTCAGTGTAGTCAAGACCAGGAACCTGAGTATAACCTTTGGCAACAAGACGAGCCTTGAAACGCTCGACAGATCCATCAGGCAAATATTTAATACGAAACACCCATTTAGAGCCCACGATGTTGGTGTTAGCAGGGCGAGGAACCAAAGTCCAAGTATCATTTTGTTGTAATGCTTGAATTTCTTCATCCATGGCAGCCACCCAAGCAGGATTCTTAGCCGCAGATTTGAATCCTTTTGGCTCAGTGGATGCAAGAAGAGCAGAAAGAAGTCCAGATGAGCCCAAAATACCAAGATTTGCTGGATGACGAGTCTTGAATATACCAGCTTTGGCTCGTGTGATCATAGGATGAGTGCCCAAAGAAGAGAAATCAACAGGAGGTTCAATAGAGGTCGAATTAGAAGTCGAAGGTGGCAAAGTGGAACCTGCAAGAGAAGTATCAACCTGCACAGACTCATCTACAAGGTCAGAACAAATATCACACGGGGATGAACTGGATCGAGGAGTTTGCGGTGATGAAGTGGTAGGGGGGGATGAATCAATATGATGAAAATGTGGTTCTAAGAAATTTGAAATAGGAATAGAGGAAAGAGGTTGGGTCTGGGAGCTAGGGATAGCAGGAAAGTGGGTTTCATCAAATTGAGCATGACAGGTGATATATAGCTTAGTGGTGGTCGGATCAAGACAGCGAAACCCTTTATGAGCAGGACTATAACCCAAAAAAATACAAGGAATGCTGCGGGGAGAAAGCTTGTTAGGCATATAATCACGCAAATAAGGATAAACACGACAACCAAAGGGATGAAAATTGTCATAATGTGGAGTGTAGCCATAAAGGAGTTCAAAGGGTGACTTACCTCCAAGAAGTGGAGTAGGCAACCGGTTGATAATATAAGCTGCAGTGCTGAAGGCGTCAACCCAAAAACGAGAAGAAAGATGAGAGTGAAAGAGAAGGGCCAAGCCAGTCTCAGTCACATGACGATGTTTTCTCTCAGCACGACCATTTTGAGCAGGTGTATATGGACAAGAGAGTTGATGGTGGATGCCAGAATTACGTAAATGAGTTTTGAAACAAGTATTAGTAAATTCGGTACCACCATCACTTTGAAATACCTTGATACGAGAAGAATATTGATTTTCCACAAATTTTTGAAATTGAAGAAAAATATCAAAAAAATCAGATTTAAATTTTAAAGGGTAAAACCAAGTGAATCGAGAATAATCATCAATAAAAATAACATAATAAAGGAAACCCGAATTTGATTTGACGGGAGAAGGACCCCAAAGATCACAATGAATAAGATCTAACACATGAGACGACCTACGTTCATTGCGGGAATAAGGCAATCGATGACTTTTTGCAAGCTGACAGGTATTACATAATGATGGAGAAGGCAATAAAGACGTAAGAGAAAGATGACCTTTTCTATTTAAAAAAGAAATAACAGAATGATTCACATGACCTAGACGAGCATGCCATAAATCATATGAAGCACGTAAAGATTTGTTTCTAAGGGCTGAAATAAAAGCAGAGTTGCCGCGCTCCAGCACATATAGCCCTCCATCTCTTTTACCGGTTGCCACCACCCTTCCTGTTTGACGATTCTGGATAGTAATAAGATTATTAGTAAATGTAACGGAGAGAGGAAAATCAGACGTTAATTTACTTATGGAAAGAAGATTTTTAGTGAGGTGAGGGACAACCAAGACATCTAACAAGTGAATATTTGGAACAGGTGAAAGAGTACCGGTGTGGGTAATGGGTAGGGAAGCACCGTTTCCTACAATCACAGAGTCCTTACCCGTGTAATTTTTAGACTGATCCAAAATAGATGGGTCGGCAGTCATATGGGCCGAAGCTCCAGTGTCCAGAAACCAATCAGCAGTATCGGGTCCAGCAATAGAACATG